GATACAGGTTATGACTGATTTCTAGGTGTTCAGAAGTAGTGCAAAGTTTTTGCGATCAAATGAGAGTAAAGGTCCCTCAAAAAGACTTCAAAAAGAAGAAACAATAAAAAAAAAAAGGGTGGGCAGGTAACCCTGGTGGACTAAGTGGCATGGAGTGCATGATCTCTACCTACAGAGGTGTGGTTGAGGTGTACTCGCTTGGTTGGGGAACCAAGACCCAACCCAAAAAACACCAGTGACTTTCATTACTTATTTTCTCACCCAATTTTGCCTAGATCCGAATGGTTTCTTCTCCAATAACTAGGATGCGATTTCTTAACATAAGTACACACTAATATATTCACTGAAAATCTAAAAACACTCAGTTTCATCTCAAGAGCTCATAGAAACCCCAACAAAACAAGATTAAGAATGAACTTTGAGAACACTTATCAAGAACTATTATATAAATTAATTTGCTCAATAATTATGGATAGATTTCAAAAGAAACTTATGATTGGCATCTAGGTGACCAAACCCAACACTATGGAAACTTAAATACCTCTTAGGTATCAAACCCATGGCGAAATTCTAAAACAATACTCAAGAACCTCGACGAACGTGTTGATCCTCTCCTCATTTCTCGTATTTTCTCTTCTTGAGCTCTCAAATAAAACCCTAGGTGTATATAAGGACTATTAAAATGAAATTAATAGTATTAGACCCTTAAAACCTTACTTAAAACAAATTATATCTGATTTGGTAAGGAAAAGACCAAAATAACCCTCATATTTTTGCATAGCTTCCTTAATTGGACATCCCAACTTCAAACCTGTGTCTCCATCATACAAACTAAAAAAATTAGCAAACTCAGTCACGTAGGAATGATAATTAAAGTACCTTTAATTAAATATCTTGTAGCCCACCTAACTCATCATGTACTCTGACTTATAGTTGTTTGAAGTTAACCCAAAACATAAAGGGACCTAGGAATGACTTGAATGTATTTTCTTTAGTTCTTTTTGAAACTCAAGTTGCTTCATCTAGTTCCCTTAACACTCAAGAAATTTCAAATTTTTTGTTAAAATCCTACTCACAACGAAGGATGGTTTGAGACTTAGCTCAAAAAAATTATGGGGTGTTACATATGCCTTGACCAGTATTATTGTGTTTTTAATCTTTGCTCTATATAATGCACTCTCAATATATTCCAATAACTGATGCATACTCTACACTACAGCCTTTCATAATGTAGGTTCAAGTACTAAACGTCCATACCAATCATATATCGGTACCCGATCTTCATTTCATTAATTTCAGTGGTGAGTCCTCATTCTTCGATGAAAATAGTAATATATTCTTCAGATATATAGTCTTTTCATTTTAGTTTCAATTAAATTTAGAGTAAGTTGGGGCATGTCCCAAAAACTTTAGTCACTCTAGGCCTTTTCATTCATAGTATTAAATTCAGGTTTAGCTTTTCTGTAATTGTTCAGTAGCACTAAACTCTTCTAATTTTATATACATTCAGATTAGTATTAGGTATTCCCTACTTTCAGTTAATTATGGTTTTATACTTCCGCATAGTATATTTGTTCACAAATTTTTAGTATGTTTATGATATGCCAGCTTAGGGTTAGTTTGGGGTCACTCGTGATCCTAGGTCCTGTGTTTATGTCCAGGGCCTATCCTCAGGGTGGAATAAACTTGGCATCAGAGAATTAGGTTCAATAATCCTAGGGTGTATGAAATCCTCACTCAGTAGAATCCTGTTCATGGGTCTAAAGTACACCACATCTAATGAGAGGGAGGCTACAAAGTGTTTTATGAAAACTTCATTTTCTTTGCTACTATTGTCACGCGTAAAGGTATGACCGAACTTCTCGTTCTAATTTTAATGCGCTACATATCATGTATCCTCATAGACCTTACCCAAGGAATGATAATGCAATCCCTCTAATCGCAGACTATAAGGTTTCAAACGCAATATTTTGGAATGTGATTCATCTTTTGGCTCTGAGTGTTACTAATCAAAACAATCAGTAGGTCCTAGTTTCTAATAATAATAAAGGTGAATCAGTGGTAGCTAGGATACGAGATTTTGTTAGGATGAATCCACCTAATTTAGGGTCACAATTTGGTAAGGACCCACATAACATTATTGATAAGGTCAAGAAAATCCTTGGAGTAATGCAAGTGGCTGGTAATAATAGGGTAGACTTTGCATCCTACTAGCTTAAGGATGTAGCTCACATTTGGTTTACTCAATGAAAAGAAAACAAGGACACGGATGCAGTTCCTATGACTAGGGAGTGTTTCACTAGAGCTTTTTTAGAAAGTATCTTACCAAGGGAGTTGAGAGAATCTAAGGCACAAGAGTTCAAGAATTTGAGACAAGGTTCCATGTCAGTCCAAGAGTACAGACTTAAGTTCATCCAATTTTTTAGGTATGCTCCACATGTGGTTGTCGATCCAAAGGCACATATAAGTAAGTTTCTATTTACGGTATTCGACTTAGTGAAGACAAAGTGCAAAAATGTTATGTTATTTGAGGGTATGGTCTCTAGGCTCATGAATGATACTCACCAGGTTAAGGGTGATAAGCTTAAGGAAATAGCTAAGGTTAACAAGAAAGCTACAACACTGAACTATGAGCACTAAGTCACAGAAGAGAGTTTCAAGAAATAGGACCTATCCCATTTGTTGAATCTTTGGTAAGAACCATCCAGGGGAGTGTCTTTTATGCAAGGAAGGATCTTTGGGTGTAGTCAGTTTGGTCATATAGTGAAGAATTGTCCTTCTGCCATGCAGGGACATGGAGGTAATGAAGCATGGATCAGTCTACAATCCCAACAACATAAATGGGTCTCCCAACTCAGTAGGGTGTATCATTTGGTACAAATGGCTGTCACCTCCAGGGGGGTCAATGCCATCCGAACTCGCAAGGACTAGGAAGACTCTCCTAATGTTGTCACTGTTACATTACAAGTCTTTCATTTAGATGTTTATGCATTGTTAAATCCAGGGGCTACTCTTACCTTTGTAACTCTCTTTATAACAGATCTTTGGTGTCAATCCAGGAACTCTTTAAGAACCCTTCTCAGTCTCTACTCCAATCGGTGACCCAGTTAGAGATAGATAGTCACAATGAAATTTCCCGGTGACTATATCTTAGAAAATCTTTTCAGTAGATCTTGTAGCGTTAAAATGGTATATTTCGATATCGTTCTTAGCATGAAATAGTTAAATATCTGTGGTACCACATTCGATTATAGAATTAGGATCAATTGGTTTCAGTTTCAAGCAAGTCAGTCATATAATGGAAGAGTGGTAGCTCAGTGCTTATAAGTCAAATTATGTCTTACCTTAAGGCCAGAATTGGTGATCTAGAGGGTTGTATAGCACATATTGAGGAAAAGCGGAAGGAATTAGCAAAAGATGTTCACCGGCTTGCTTATTTAGGAGTTAGTCTTATGAACACATTATATGGAGGTGTGATAGTTAAGAATATATCGGAACCTTCAGTATATCATGTTCAGAATACTATACTTGCTTTTGTACTTTTTCAGTAATGTATTTATTTCAGCTTTACTCTATCCTACATGCTCAGTACCTTTCAAGTACTGATGCATACGAGCGCTACATCTTCTCATAATGTAAATACAGGTTTCAGTATCCAGATCATGCTTAGATCAATTCCCGATCTCTAGTTCAGCAGAATCAGTGGTGAGTCCTTATTCTTTTAGGACAATAGTCATGAGTTTGTTTTAGTATATTTGGTCTTTTAGTTTTAGTTTTTGCTAGACTTATCTGGGGCTTGTCTCAGCATTTCTAGTGAGTTAGAGGCTTATTTTAAGACATAATTAGTTTCAACTTAATATTGTGTTAATAATTTTTGTATTAAAATCATAAGTTTTCAAATATATCAGTTATCAAATATGGTTGTTCCCCCCTTTTTCATTTTAAATTATGATTTAGCATCAGCATTTAGTTTGTTATCTTTAGTATGCTCATGATCATGCCAGCAAGTTTAGATTGGGATTAGTTGTGGTCCTAGGTATCGTGTTTGTGTCTCTGAGGTAGCTCAGAGCATGAAAATTGGTATCAGAGAACTAGATTTAAGTGTCCTAGGATGTCTGAGAAGCCACACTAAGTAGAGTCTTTCATGGGTGTGAAGTGCACCGCATCTAATGAAAGAGGGAAGCTATGAAGTGTTTTAGTAAACACTTCACTTTGTTAGTCTTGTAGGATCTAATTCCATTCTAACTCAACGTTGTACATTTTTATTCATGCCTCCTCATAGAGATAACACCAAGAATTCGAATGCCAAGAATGCAAACTCAGCTCCTCCAGCCCAAGATCAGAAAATCTCCAATTCAGAATTGAAGATTGCCATTCAGATCATGGCTCAGAGTGTTTTCAACCAGAACAATCAGCAGGCCCAAGCTCATGTGAATGAAAAGGATTGATCAACAGCAGCTAAGGTTATGATAAATTTGCATGAGTTCTTAGGATCACAAACTAATGAAGATCCCTATAATTTCTTAGATGAGATCAAGAAGATCTTTGAGGTGATGGAGGTCAATGGGAATGTTCGGGTTGAGTTGGCACCATACCAGCTGAAAGATGTTTTTCATATCTTGTACACTCAGTGAAAGGAAAATAAGGGTCCTGATGCAGCTCCTAGGATTGCTTTACTAAGACCTTTCTGGACAAGTTTTTCCCAATAGAGTTGAGAGAAGCAAAGGCTCGAGAATTCCTAAATTTAAGGAAGGGAAACATGACGTTCCAAGAGTATGGTCTATAGTTTAACCAACTCTATAGGTGTGCTCCTCACATGGTTGTTGACTCTAGGGATTAGATGAATAAGTTCTTGTATGAAGTTTCAAATTTGGTGAAAATTGAGTGCAAAAATGCTATGTTACTAGGAGGTATGAACATCTATAGGCTTATGACTCATGCTCCCAGCAGGTGGAGGGTGATAAACTTAGGAACAATCTATGTAAAATAAGAAGGATATGATGGGAAACGCTAACTATTCTCAACAAAAATTGGGTGGTGGAAATTGCTCGCAGAGTCCAAAGAAATTTTCAGCCCCAGCCCCTTCATCAACTAGTATTCCATCCTACAAGAACAGGTATGATCAGAATGTTAGGGAACCAGGCTCTAAGTCTCAGGGAAGTGTGTCAGGCACCGAGACTTACCCCACTTGCCCTAAGTGTAATAAGAACCATCTAGGAGATTGCCTTGCAGTAGAGAAAGGATGCTTTGGGTGTGGTCAATCTGGTCAGGGGTTGAGGGATTGTCCATCTAGACAAGTTCAAGGAGGTGGTAATGGTAGAGCTCTATATACAACTTCAGCACAACCAACAAGTCGCCCGACTCAGCAAGGTAAATCATCTGGTATAGGTGGCGGTCAGCGCCAGAATAGGTTGTATGATCTTCAGGATCGCCAGGATTATGAAGGTTTTCCTGATGTAGTTACTAGTATATTACGAGTATTTGACCTCAATGTTTATACATTGTTAGATCCAGGGGCCACTCTTTCCTCTGTAACTTCTTACAGAGTAGTCCAATTCAGTGTTAGTCCAGAAACTCTCTTAGGACCTCTCTAAGTCTCTACTCCTTTTGGTGACTCAATCGTAGCAAGATGGGTATACAGAAATTGCCCTATCACAGACTCTCGGAAATTCACCTCATCAGATCTTGTAGAGTTATAAATGGTACACTTTGATGTTATTCCAGGCATAGATTGGCTACATTCCTATTATGCCTCAGTCGATTGTAGAACGAGGATTGTTTCTTTTCAGTTTTTAGATGAACCAATCTTATAGTGGAAAGGTGGTATCTTAGCGGCTATGGGTCTATTTATTTCTTACGTTAAGGCTTCAAATATGATCTCTAAGGGTTTTTATCTATCATCTAATTTAGGTTAAGGACTCTAGCTCTGAAACTCCAACTCTTTAGTTAGTCCCAGTAGTCAATGAGTTTGCAGAAGTGTTTCCAAAAGATCTTCTTGGAGTCCCTCCCGAAACGGAAATCAACTTTGGAATTGATCTCCTACAAGATACCAAACCTATTTCTATTCCTCCATATAGAATGGCTTCAGGAATGGCACCAATGTTGTTTGTAAAGAAGAAAGATGGGTCTATTAGAATGTGCATTGACTATAGACATTTAAACAAGGTCACAATCAAGAATAAGTATCCCATTCCCCGGATTTATGACTTAATTGAACAACTTTAGGTGCTAGCCATTTCTTGAAGATAAACCTCAGATCAAGTTATCATTAGCTTAGAGTCAAGGATACTGAACTTTTGAAGACAGCCTTTAGGACTCTGTATGGCCATTATGAATTTGTAGTTATGTCGTTTGGGCTAACCAATGCTTCTGGAGCTTTCATGGATTTGACAAACAGAGTGTTCAAACACTACTTGGACTTGTTTGTTATCGCCTTTACTAATGATATCCTCATTTACTCAAGGAATGAAGAAGAAGAAGTGAGTCATCTGAGATTTGTCTGCAGACTCTCAAAGATAACATGTTATTCACAAAGTTTATAAAATGTGAGTTCTGGTTGAAATCCATTGCTTTCCTTCGTCACATTGTATCTAGCGAGGGGAACCGAGTGGATTCGCAGAAGATAGAAGCAGTGAAACAACGACCTAAACCTACCTTTGCTACAGATATCAGAAGTTTCTTAGGACTAATAGGTTATTACAAAAGGTTCTTGGAAGGATTTTCATACATAGGATCACCATTGACTAGGTTTAATAAAAAATTGGTCAAGTTTCAACGGTCAGATGATTGTGAGAAAAGCTTTGCAGAATTGAAAATTAGATTGACTATAGCTCATGTCTTGACTCTACCAGAGGGTTCAGATGGCTATATGATCTATTTTGATGAATACAGAGTTGCCCTAGGTTATATGTTGATGCAGTGAGATAAGATTATAGCTTATGCTTTTAGACAACTTAAGGTCCTTAAGAAGAACTATCCAACTCATGACCTCGATCTTGAAGTAGTGGTGTTTGCACTCAATATATAAAGACACTACTTGTATGGTCTTCATGTAGATGTGTTCAGTGACCATAAGAATCTTTAGTATGTGTTCACCCAGAAAGATTTGAATCTTCGCCAGAGGAGATGGCTTGAGTTTCTTAATGATTATGATATGAGTGAGCATTACCATCCTATCAAGGTAAATACTAAAGACAAGTTCTAAGTCATATTCCCCAGCAACGACTCTATTCTTGATAAAGTTCAAATATACTTCTTGAAAAGAAATATAAACGATCGTATGTAATATAATTATCCAACTATGAGTCGGGGTCAATCCCACAGAGAATATGGAAGAATACAATCAATAGCAAATATTTAACTCGATAGTCGTTATATAAAAATGGGGGGGGGTTTAAATTGAAATAAAAATAAAAGAATTAAAAATAGCTTTGAACTAAGTATTTATTTATATCCAAATTAATAAAAATAACTAGGGACGTGTTCCCCATAAGCTCATAATGTTGTAATCCTAGTAATAACAACTCTTTCATAGTGTAATACATGCAAAGTTATAAGTTAGGTATCTCAAATTTCTTGGTCCGGCAACTAGAGAATTTCACCCCGCACCTTGGTCTGGCTATGTGTGTATAATATACTAACCCTTACAATTACCTCATATTAGAGATCATAATCGATGTATAGCTTAGTTATTACTTCACACCAATGGACACTAGCCTATTAGATAGTATCTCACTAAATCTATGTTGATAATTCTTTTCTTATTAACTACCTTCTTGGTCCGGCAAATAGCAACAAGGTGATTTCTAACGTTGGTAACTGTTAAAAAGACTTCTTAACGAAAGAATTATCAATACATGCAAAAACCTATTTGAGAATTGCTTAATTACTATTCATACTTTGTTAATGGCTCATGATTCCCACAAACCTTGTTGTGGAGTTTAACCACTCATTATCTCAAAACACAACCAAAATTTATTAAAATAAATATGTTTGTGTTAGTAATAGAAGGTTAAGAACAATAGCTAAACTATCTTTTATTAATCACGAATAAAAATAAATAATAAAGGAGACGAAAGAATAAACTACAATTCTCCGACCTCCACGGCTCTTACAAAGCTCCAAAGCTAGAAGAAAATTTATATTATGTCTTGTATCTTGTTTCTTCGTTTCCTCAAATAATAATTTTTACGTCCTATTTATAGATTTAAAAAATCTTAAATAAAATAATCGAGTCCAAACAAATTAGGAAATCAAAACCTGATAGGAGCTGAATTCCGTAAATTATTTGTTCTTTCTATAATATACTGATGTCGTCACCTTACAAGGAATTGGATGGCTTAGCTGCTGACACGTGGCAGCTGTAAAACAGCCTGAGAATTGAAATTCTTAATTTGAGCAGCAATTTCTATATATATAAATATATTATTTTATTCAATTTAATCCACTAAAATGTTTGCCTGACTTCGTTCGTCAACCTTCCATCTTTAATTCATTTGAGTTCCAAACTTCTTCATTTTCCCACCAAATTAATCCTACGAATAAAAAATATGCAGTATCGCACAATCCACAGAATTTATGCTCAAAACAAAATTATAAATGTCCGATAAATAATGATAAAAATGTGTATGTTTGCCTCGCATCATTAGGCTCATCCAAAGAACAGCCCAAGGACCCAATTGACGAAGCCACAGAAGGTCCATCGATGGACCTAATGGGCGTCGATTGTGGTCATGTTGCAGGCTGTTGGAAGCTGCCTGGCGAGTGTTTCATTAAAGGGGTGAATGGGAAATTCACCCCACGTCCTAACCTGACCCTATTAGGTTTATTTGGTTATTTTTGGGTGTGTTGAAGGGATAAAAAACGTGATCAACCCCACTCCCAATACAATTCACCAAATTAGACTTTTTCCTCGAAAAATATTCTCTCTAGAACCTCCATTGAAGGTGAAGCTCAAGAAAAACTTGGAGCTTGGATTCATATGGTTTCTTCATCAGGTTTTGGAGGTTTTATTCTATATTAAGGTATGGTAATCCTTCATCTCTAATTAACCTTTCACTTGGGGAGTTCATCAAAAAGTTTTTCAATGAAGTTCCATGATCAAATCTCTTCTTCTTCAATATAGACATGGGTTATTTATAAAAACATTTTCAAAGGCTTAATCATGATTAATTGATGATAATATATTTTAACGTGAAATTCAATCTAATTGCATGATGAACCCATGTCCCTTCCCAAACTTGATTTAGCCCTTGCATGGGCATTGTGATCGTTTGTTAATAGTTGAATTGTTATTCTATTACGTTGAATTGCTCATGTCTACTGTTATTTAAGTATATTGATGATGAATTTTTTATCAATGATCTAATTGGATTAATGTATGAAGATTTGAACATGACTAGCTTAGGTATCTATGTGTTCATTGTACCATTGTAAGTATAATGTATAAAATTGGAATTCAATTATGATAGGATGCTTGTAGATACTGCCTTGTTTTGTTTATTGATGAATTATGGGTATAAACCCAAGGTGTATCAATGTGTGATAGTTTGAATAGGATTAACCTATGTAAAATTATCTTCCATAAATTCCTAAGATGAGGCATGCTTACAGTGATTTCGAGTTTATTGGCAATTGAGTAGGATCTTGTTTAGGCTATAATTTCTTAAACTACTGACCTACATGTAAATTATTTATGAATTTTCATTGATAATCAATACTAGGGAAATTTGTTAATGATCTATACCTATCTATTCTCTAGAGTAATGGTGATTTTTTGCACTAGTTGTATCATGATCTTGTAACAATATCTACATGGTTTCTTTCACGATTCCAGTACATTTAGATACTTCCCTATACATGTATGTTTATAAAAAAAAGTGTATTGATCAATGTTGATCAAAAGGGTTGATGAATTGGTAATGTCTACTCTTTCTCTCTACCTTGCTATATTATTGTAGTTGATGAAGCCTTGTATGGCATCGTGTGGTATGGTCCACTTATTGTGGTGGTGCTTACATTACTGTCATTATATATGTGATGTGATCATGGCCTTGAAGGCAAATTATATAATGAATATGTGTTGGTGATAATGACCCAATGTTAAGTATCATGCCTAGTTTCCTATTCTAGTTGTGATCTAGGTTGTATGGCTATTGTGTATGCATGTGTATGACAATGTTGGGGTTTGATTAGGTTCTTCCTTAGATGAGTATAAATGGTTAATTCTCCCTCGTCCATGTACCCCTATGTGAGTATGTGAATAATTAAGTTTAGGATTCCTAAATGTAATGTGAAGATTGTCTTGTCTCCTTTGCTAAATTGTGTTGTAGGGTATATGCTTGAAAGGGTAATGCGGTCCTAAGATGATGATTGCCTCAATGTGTTTTTAATAGTCATTACGTGATCGTGTTGACCAATGTACACGCACACTCACACATTATGCATGCTTATCATCTAGTAAAGGTTCATAGTATCTAATGAAAAGTTGATCTCACATTCACTAAATGTCTACGACTATTCATGTAAGGTAAATGTATGTGAAGTATGTTATGTATGATGACTTGATAGGTGTACTAGTATGGTCAAGGGTATG